TACTGTCAGTTCTTTCAACCCCTACGTAATATTGATAACCATACTACTGTCAGTTCTTTCAACCCCTACTGTAAAACCCTTACAAAACATTAAGAGGATCAGAAAAGAATCCTAATAATCTGAGAAGTTTTGGAAAGTGGTCTTTCCTTAGTCGTGGAAAATGACCTTTACCCTTGCCCACTGAAGGAAAGTCAATTTTCCAAAAGTTCTCAGGCTATTGTTGTTGTTGTTGTTTCTGATGCCACCTTTCCTGTTTATCATGCATTCCTTGAAATACAATAAGAAACAATCACAGACAACGTGATACAAAACAGGATTCATACTTTTGTCCTCCTCTGGTATTGAAGGCCCATGTTGAGAGACTTTTCGAACGTTGTGCTCCTTTGATCAATATCCTTAGCATAAAGAATCTGTAGAGGATTTCAAAGAAACTGAATGTGTAAATAAAGATAATTATTCAGATCAAAAGTTAATAAAGGTTCTACATTACACTCTTCTTTCCAATAAAATTTGTTCTTAGTAGACTTACAGAAAAGACTGACATTTAAACCACTAAGTTTCGGTTCACTATTCCTCAAATATTTCGAAGTAAAAATTCTGAAACACGAGACAGAATGACAGTTATGGATAAAATTAGTTTTCAAAATCGTCACAATTGAAAATATGGAATTTACACTTTTTGCAGCAAAGTTCAGTTTTATATTATGTATGTTTTTAAAAATCACATTACACTTAGATAGTTAAATTACATAAGATTTAAACTTTTACATAGACTCCTCATAATCTAGATTAATGTATTCCATCTTTATTTGGAACACGCTGTCCTTTACCAGGGATATTCCACAGAAATGGCCTTAAACTATAAATCATAAACCTGCTACAACCTAGAATCCTTTTAACAACAATCCTACTTATAAAAACTATACATTATAGTAACCAAAACTTGTGTCTTACAGTGAACTGTTCTTGTGAATAAGATAGGAGTAATGAGTTAGAGGTTTTGGTTACCTTGTGGCTTAACTATAGTTTGTAGTGCTTTTAGTGACAAACAGATGGAGTTCTGATGAAAGTTATTGATTTAAAACTTGTTACCCTCTACACCTTTACAAGTTAGTGACTACCAGATGGAGTTCTGATGAAAGTTATTGATTTAAAATTTGTTACCCTCTACACCTTTACAAGTTAGTGACTACCAGATGGAGTTCTGATGAAAGTTATTGATTTAAAACTTGTTACTGTCTACACCTTTACAAGTTAGTGACAAACAGATGGAGTTTGGATGAAAGTTATTGATTTAAAACTTGTTACTGTTTACACCTTTACAAGTTAGTGACTACCAGATGGAGTTCTGATGAAAGTTATTGATTTAAAACTTATTATGCAGTGATATAAATGTAAGTCTTTCTGAATTACTTGTCTGTTAGTCTTTAAGATAAGCTGTAATAATTAATCACACACAAGTTTCTTTTATACAATATGTAAAATCTACGTTATGTAAATGCACCAACAAATGAAACTTAAGTGCCTTGTTATGGGAATCGATGCGAGCCTGTACTTGTCCGTCCAGGATAAGCTGCATGAGTTCATCTTCCAATGCTGAAACTGACGTATTAAATGCTGCTGCCATTTTCCTCATGTCTGCTGACAAGTAGGGGCTAAAGTACTTGTAAGAAACAAACAAACAATCAGAACCAAGTGTGTGAGGTCTTTAAATAAAACACTAAACACCTGCAAGAAAACTGATGTTTGTAAACAACTTAATTAAGAAATTAAAAATGTTGCTGTTTCAAAATATAATTAGTAGTAATACAGTTTCGTCTCTCTTTGTTTGGAACACTTTAATTGTAGAAACAGTCATTATATATCAAACTGTAATGACCAAGATTTTAATCACTTCTATATAAAAAAATCTTAACACTGAAGAACATCCACAAATTTTACAGTTTACAGACTTTACACTGTTTACAGTTTACAGACTTTACACTGTTTACAGTTTACAGACTTTACACTGTATCTACAAGCATAATTTTAGTTTACAGACTTTACACTGTATCTACAAGCACAATTTTACAGTTTACAGACTTTACACTGTATCTACAAGCATAATTTTATCACAGTATTTACACTGTGCAGACTCTTATCACTTACCTGCACCAGTGCTCTGTTCCTTATTTGTGTATAGAGCGTGTTCACGTGCGGGGCCAGGTACACGTCTAGTAACAGGTTATCCTATAAAACACCAGTATTATAAGGTTTGCACAAAGTGTGATTATTAAAATGATCTGAACATGTTTATACTGGTGAATTACATCATTAATCATATGTTCTAATTTCTAAACATTTAATATTAACTCACGACACAAGATTGTAACGTATCACAAAATATTAACTCATGACACAAGATTGTAACGTATCGCTAAATATTAACTGATGACAAAAGATTGTAACGCATCACTAAATATTAACTCATGACACAAGATTGTAACGCATCACTAAATATTAACTTACGACACAAGATTGTAACGCATCACTAAATATTAACTTACGACACAAGATAAACGCATCACTAAATATTAACTCGTGACACAAGATTGTAACGTATAACTAAATATTAACTCACAACACAAGATTAATGCATCACTAAATATTAACTCATGATACAAGACTGTAACGTATCACTAAATATTACCTCATGATACAAGACTGTAACGTATCACTAAATATTAACTCATAACAAGATTGTAACATATCACTAAATATTAACTCATGACACAAGACTGTAACGCATCACTAAATATTAACTCATGACACAAGATTAACGTATCACTAAATATTTAGTGCATTATTAAGATAAACGATCTATTACTTATAAATAATGAGTAAAATTTTTATTTTTTTTTCTACAAAGACATGAAAATCTATCATGAAATCCAGTATGTGCATGTTTAATCAAACTTACACAGTCAGTTCAAGCTAGTATTTGGATAATACATTTCTGGTATCACCTAAACAGATCTGACAAAGTAGAGAGTAATATGACAATCTGTGATACGTCTTAAACTGGTTTCATATCACATACGATATCGAAGAAGAATAAAGTATTTGATAAACATCAGTTATTTTGAAATATTTTAAAGTTCTAGTACACAAGATTCAACTATCTGAAGAACAGTTATACAATTACTTTGAAACATTTATGGATAAACATGCAAGTAACTTGAAGCTACGTTTCTGTGTTTAGTAAATCTAAATTAATAAATGTGCAAGTAACTTGAAGCTACGTTTCTGTGTTTAGTAAATCTAAATTAATAAATATGCAAGTAACTTGAAGCTACGTTTCTGTGTTTAGTAAATCTAAATTAATAAATATGCAAGTAACTTGAAGCTACGTTTCTGTATTTAGTAAATCTAAATTAATAAATATGCAAGTAACTTGAAGCTACATTTCTGTGTTTAGTAAATCTAATACATTATCGGTCGAGTATGGTTAAAATGGAAAGTGATATAGAGAAGGTCAGTTACGTTGTATAAGAACAATCTAAAAAAAAATAATACAAGTCATCTTGTCATAAGTTATGTGTATATATATACTTAGTTCATGGTCACGAGCAACCAAATTTGATCTCGTTTCTGTGAAGTTCACTCATATATCCTTCTGTATATTTGTTTTGTTCATGTGGCCATCATTCATATATCCTTCTGTATAGTTGTTTAGTTCATGTGGCCATCATTCATATATCCTTCTGTATAGTTGTTTTGTTCATGTGGCCATCATTCATGTTGTTCATGTGGCCATCATTCATGTTGTTCATGTGGCCATTAGTCATGTTTCTGAAATATTTCCCATAATGTTTGACCTAGCCGTCCTTCACAAATGTTTGTCAAAATAGTGTTGTTTGTTTTTGGTATTTTGGGCAAAGCTATTCAAGTACTTTCTGCACTAGCCATCCCTAATTAAGAAACGATAGACTAAAGGGAAGGCAGCTAGTTAACACCTCCCACCACCATCTCATGGGCTACTTTTTTTACCAACAAATAGTGGGATTGACCATCAAATTATAATGCCCCAACAGCTGAAAGGAATTCGAATTCTTGACTAGCAGACTACGAGTCAAGTGCCCTAAACACTAGGCCATGCCAGGCCCTTATTAAAATGGAAATTGTGGAGATGGATAACACTGAATAATCATGGTCATCAGATGGTGCATGACTGACTACATAGGATTTAGTTTAAAGGATGTGGGGCACTGTTCTTAAAAGATTAACCCTTCCTATAATTCTCAGGGGGACTCCTCATTTTAGGTAATTATTGGCTATATGAAGAAGTGACTGTGAGGCAAGCTACTACCCTAATATTCCTTTTGTTACTGATAATACTCAATCATGTTTAGTGTTCACGTGAAACTTCTTTGTGTAAAGGCTTAAAACATTAACAATAACGAATGAAATTCAGTAAGATTACGCACCTACAAAACTTGGCATTATCAAACCATGCTAAATATTAAACACATGGAAAACGTATTTAATATAATTCAATTACATTCTTTGCGTTAACAGGAGTCACAAATCTCACGATAAATATTAAACGTCACAAATCCATTAAAATCTGTTTACATTTGGAAAGCAGAATCCGTAAAATTCCTGAAAACTTAAAACTGGTTGAAGACCATACGGTACCTTGATTTCATCCAGAAGTTTCAAACATGAAGCGTACTTCGATTCATAAAATCTGAAGACGATATCTCGAAGCTGTGGTTCCAGCTCAAGAAACAATTTGAAAGAACTAGAGAACAAAAAACAAACAAACAGATCTTAACAAAGTACAGTTGAAAGACTTGTCTAACTAAGTTACACAGAAAATGTGGAAAACATTCTAAAAAAAAAAACAATACTAACCTCACTAATATCAAAGTTTGGCTTTTTAAACATTTTTCGTTTCTGTAATTGGCACGTGTAGCTACTTCAACTTTTTACTGTTATTTTTACAGCAACCGATATGTTTACAAAAACTTTAATTATCATGTGAACTTAAACCACCCGTGTTTATCATAATAAAATAACACTGGGTGGTAGTTAATTAATATTACATCTAGCTCCAACTAGTCTCGGATGGTGAGATGTCAAATGTTTAATATTGAAATCAAGAATTTAAAAGGAACGGCCCGATTATTCTAGGATGTAATCAATAAAATAAAGCCCTGTAACTAAAGTACTCAGTATATAGTAATATTAAACACATCTACCAAAAAAAAAAGACATACAAATTCATGTGTCACCCCAAGAAAATAAAATGTCTAAGAACACAAAGAACAGACAAAGCAGAAAATTATTTCGACAAATAAGCATGAGAGAGCATAACCTTCTCATTACATGTCGATCAAAGTGATGGTATATATATCATTAGGGTATAGAAAATAACAGATAAAATATAAAGTTTTACTGAAAAAAAAAGTCTGATATTTATTTAGGGGGTTTTAAAGAGAACACAAATAAAACTTGAGATTTTTTTTCCGATGAAGAAAAGTAATTTTAATCTTAACATGAAAATCACTTGGAAAGATCAACTCTGAATCCATATTTTCATGGAGAAATTTTTAGTAAAAATACTTAATTAAAAAAATCAGATTTTTTGTGTGCAAGAGACTTGTAATGTTTACCAAAACCACGTCAAATTTTGTGAAGATACACTTATCATACTAAAAGTTATAGTACAGAAACTGATGGTTACTTTGGGGTTAAAGGTCAGTGTGATCCAACGATCCTGTACGGAAAAAAAGAGTTAAGTGCCTAAACTTTCCACCTCCTGTCAGATCTAGTAAAAACATCTTGACTTTACAAAACCAAGAAACTTTTACCTACCTGCTTGATATCACATTTTTTAGAAGTTCTTGTCTGTCAAAAGAAGCCAATGCACACAAACCTCCGTACATTGCAACATTGCTAGGAGAAAGAAGCTGAAAAAAGAAACCAAAACAATTAAACAAAAATCATCACCTCAAAACTATTTAAGAATCATACATCTGTGAAAACTACAGAGAAATTTTACTCTGCGACTAACCTGCAGATTAATATTTGTATACGTTTCTGTACGAGTTAATTCAGGTTGCAAGTTTTTATTTAATTTCTCATTTTCAACTTTTAGTGGTTTTTTTTATGCCTACCATTTTACATTTCTAAACCATTTTTCATACCTTTTGTTAGAACGTCACACAACGATTTAAATAAAAATATAACACACTAACTATATCATTGTTTGAATTATAGCCATTTTTATCTAGCACATGGGTGTACTGTAATTATTCCTAGCACATGGGTGTACTGTAACTAATCCTAGCACATGGGTGTACTGTAATTAGTCCTAGCACATGGGTGTACTGTAATTAGTCCTAGCACATGGGTGTACTGTAACTAATCCTAGCACATGGGTGTACTGTAATTAATCCTAGCACATGGGTGTACTGT